AGAGGGGGTGTGCCTTGGTGGGTTCCCTACCTACCCTCCAAGACGCAACTCAAATGTCACCTCTTCTATGGGGCCTTGCAAGACTCCCCCCACATAAGGACAGCTCATCCTGAGTGCTCCCCAGCACACACCAGGCTCAGCACCAAGGATAAGCACCTCATATGCATTATCTCGAGAATGAACTCAACACTCTGCCATAATTGTTTACTTCATGTTTGTTCCCCTTCCCGGCAGAGTTCGCAAGTGCCTGAACTAGGCCCTAAACATAGCTTAGACCCGGAAAGCCAAATATGTGTTTTGTAAGTGTCATTCCACAGGACAGAAACACTGCCAAGGGAGCATTACTGCAGAAATATGTATAAACATCTCTTGAGCTGTTCCAGGGAAGAAGGGGAAATAGTCCTTCATTCCCCCACTTCATGGATGAAGAAAGTAAGGCCTGGTGTGGGCCACTCCCTGTATAAACTCTACGCTGACTCTGACCCAGGAGCTTCTCCCTACCTGCCCAATGAGCCTAAGTTTCCGTCAAATGCCAGATAACAGAACTGTACAGAAAAATGAATTTGTTCTGTAGCCTATATAATAAGAGTAATAAAGAACTGCCATCATCTATCTCTCTATCAGATATTCATTTAAGTTTCTTACACTATAATTAAATGTACAGTGAAACATACAAGAAATACATGCTTATTGTGCTTTGCGGTATTGCAAGTGAGGACGAATAATCATGTTATTAAGTATGTATATGTATTAGGAGATTCTCCTTCCATCAAAGCAAACAAACAAAAAACCAATCCTCTTCAGTCAGAAAATGAGATACAGCACAAAAAGAGGAGTGAGGACCCTGGAAAAAGATGGCCCTGGATGAGACCTTGGCTTCACCCTCACACCCTTGAGCAAATGATTTCATTGCTGAGATCCCTCCCCAGCTATGAAGTGGGTAAGGAAACACCAGCTTTTGGAGTCATCAGAAGAACTTAAAATATATACGTGTGTGTTTGTTTGTGTATACACAGGTGGGCATACATAATATAAATTTAATACAGAGTCTGGCATAAAATTTTCTGAAATAAGAGCTTCTCTTTTATTTGCAACTGGCCTTAGAATTATGAATTTTAAAATGACGAGTCTCTGTTGGTGGGAACATACAAGGTATCATATTTGGAGGGGAATTTGACAATATCTATTGACATTTAAAGTCACACCATTCTACAAACACTCTTCTCTCTCTCTTTCTGTCTCTTTTGCACTATTTTTCTCCATAGGGGAAAAAAAAAGTCTCAGTGTAAGGCTATGAAGGACATTCACTGTCTATATTGCATATTTTTATGACAGTCTTTTTTATAATGAGCACTTAAAACTTTTTTGTAAACAGAAAAAATACATTTTTATAAAAAGTAATTTCTCCATTTAATTTCTTATAATTTTTTAAAATATAATTTTATTGTTGTTATTATTAAAATATATTTTTATTGATTTCAGAGAGGAAGGGAGAGGGAGAAAGACAGAAACATCAATGATGAGAGAGAATCATTGATCAGCTGCCTCCTGCACTCCCCACACTGGAGATCAAGCCCACAACCTGGGCATGTGCCCTGACAGAGAATCGAACTGTGACCTCCTGGTTCATAGGTCGACGCTCAACCACTGAGCCATGCCAGCTGGGCTGATTTTAATTTTTAAATGAATCTCACATATAATAAAAAGTTAAATCCCAAATTATTTATCACCATTTGAAAAAGCATGTGTGTTATTTGTCTCCCCCCTCCCCCCCACCCCCACACTAGACAATCAGATCTATGGGGGACTTATCTGTTTGGTCACTGTTATACCCATGACATTTCAAAAATTGCCTGGTACATAGTCAATAATTGTTAACTGAACACACTTAAAAGCTCACATTGTTCCAGCTCTTCCACTTCTAAGAATTCATTATACAAAAATATTTGCCCAATTGCACAAGATAAAGAACAAGACACTCATCCAGAATTCATAATAGCAAAAAGCTACAAACCACATAAATTTTTTTCAATAATACTGCTTACTAGAATATTCTGTCATTTTTAAAAGCATGAGGCTTTACCCTGGTACGTGTGGCTCAGTGGTTGAGCGTCGACCTATGAACCAGGAGGTCATGGGTTGTGGGCTGGATCCCCAGTAAGGGGCATGCAGGAGGCAGCTGACTGATGACTCTCTCTCATCACTGATGTTTCTATCTCTCTCCCTCCACCCCCACCCCCAAAATCAATAAAGATTAAAAAAAAAGAATGAAAGAATGAGGCTTTAAAAAAGAATGAGTTGGTTCTCTACATAGTGATATAGAAAGACATGTTAAGTAATAAAAAGCAAGCCTCAGAACAGTATGACTAGTAACATCTAAGTTTTTGTTTAAAATTAAAATAGTAAAAAGGTTCTGTTGTTTTAAGTTAAAAATAGATAATAAATGTTTTTTATATGCGAAGAAAAATATCTGGAGAATATATACTACACCACTAGCAGTGATTTTTTTTTGTCTCAGTGAAAGGCTATGAGGGATGTTCACTATAGTGCATATTTCTTAAAAGTTTTTAAAATAATGAGGACTTAATATTTTTGTAAACAGAAAAATAGTTATATGGAAAGTCATTTCTCCATTTTACTGTTTTCTGATTGTAACTTTCAAATGTATCAGACATACAAATTAAATCCCAAAGCACTAAACTGAGGTCCATGGGTTTTCCAAAAGAAACAGTGCTAGTGCCACAGCTTGAACTCAGGTTCCCTGACTCCCAATCCAGTGCTCTGCTCCTTCCTACATCACAGGAAGCAGAGATATTGCAGGGACAGCTGGGCTCTCTGGAACTATTAAAGGTCTTACAACTATACAGAAGCTTCCATCAGGGAAAAAATAAGAAGTTGCTTAAGAGCTTCATTCTTATTAACTTAAAATGTTCCATGCGTTTAGCAAGTAAATGTTCAGGATTGGCCAAGAAGTTCTGATTTCAAAGTCTATTTCCCAAGTACACTCGGATTTACTCAGGTTCTGATTTTCAAAGAGGACCAAGCCAGTCATTGGCAAGTCCTAAAACTTCAGGTTCCTCAGGCAACTGACATCTGTGGCTGATTATAAACTCACTAGAGGCCCGGTGCATGAAATTTGTGCACTGGGGGTGGGTCCCTCAACCCAGCCTGCACCCTCTCACAGTCTGAGAACCCTTGGGGGATGTCCGACTGACGGCTTAATGAACAGCACACCCCCTGTGGGAGTGCACTGACCACCAGGGGGCAGCTCCTGTGCTGAGCGTCTGCCCCCTGCTGGTCAGTGCGCATCATAGCGACCGGTCGTTCTGCCATTCGATTTGCATATTAGCCTTTTATTATATAGGATTATATAGGATACCACCCAGGGATATTTACCTGCCTGATTCCTGTTGGCTGCAGTCAATGCTGCTATTTCCAAGTGCTGAAGTATAACCCTGGGGTTCCTTTTATCTAAAACCTACCTGCCCTTTTTTTAAAGTGCAAGACATGAAGAATTTTACAGTTAAGACCACTCTGAAGTTTTCAACACCACAACACAACTGGAAGCTAATATTCCATTCTCTGAAATGCAGATCTGTTTTTTGGACTCTTGAGATAATGATTAAGCTATGCGTCCAGTGAAACAGCTTTCTACATCAGGAGTATGAGAAGTATGAGGAGCTCAAGAACTGACCACTCTCTCAAAAGGAAAATAAGAACTCTTAGAGGGACACAAAGACAAGAGGGTGATCCCTTCTGGCTTTTCTTTTTTACTGAGACTTTTGGACTGTTTCCCTGACCAAGCCAACCCCACAACCATTCGAAGGGGATTTGTGTAGGCAGAACTTGTGCGTAGTTAACGAATCAATGGCTTCTCCCCAAACAACAGGACTTAGAGCACTGCACAGTGAGGACAATGAATCCCAGAAGGTTAGTTAATTGCCCAGCTTAAAGGAATTTAAGTTCTCAATGTCACCCTCCCTCCTAGACCCTCTTTTGAGCCACAGAACCTCACACCTGTGGTGGCAGCAGGGTGGGCTGTATGTATCACTGTCTGTGCTACTGAGAAGGTAACAGAGGCTCAAGAAGTTAAGCGTCCTGCCAAGCTGCCAGGATTCAGACCCAGGACCATCCCCTCCAGCCTTGTCTCCCTTGGTGCCGGCACTACGCTCTAGCTTTGGCCAAGCTCAGAGGGAAGGCTGCCTTTTGGAGGTCCAACAGACGAGGCAGTCTCGTTCATTACAATGTCCCCAATCTCCTCGGTACTGGTCACCAACTTACACAGTGGTAACCAGCCTTAAGAAATAAAAGCAAAAAGCCAAGGTCAAGTTCCCGTCGCCCAGGGAGACCTTCACCTCTTACCCAATAGCTCCCAAGAGCTAAGTAAGGGCGTCAAGGCTGCCCAGCAGAGCCCGGCAAGTATCGGCCAAGGCACCTGCCTGCGACCCGCACCGCTCCCCAGGGATGCCTGGGCCCCCGGCCACACGCAGCGTGATTCCCAGAAGAGGCCGGGCTGCCCTGCTCAGCCCCTGACTGAGCTCACCTGATGCTGCTGGATCGGACTCGGGTCCCATTCGCACTCACAGGGCGCCTCCTACGTGAGGTGCCCCCCAAACTGCCGCCTGGAGACCCATCGTACCGACGGGGAAACTGAGGCTTGGAGAGGAAAAGTGGCTCAGCCCCAGGGTTCGCGCGGGCCCTGGAGCCGGAGCCCTCTGACACCGAGACCCGAGGGGCTGGGCTGGCGTCCTCGGTTGTGGAAAAGAAGACCCTCAAGCCGCCGCAAGGGGTCAGTTCGAGGGGAAGGTCCACCGGGGATGAGCCGAGGTGGGAGCCGCGCTGGCCGTGCCAGCGTCGGGTGAGACACTCAGCGACCCGGCCCAGCGCCACCGGCCCGGGCGGTCGCGGCGACCACAAGGCACCGGGCGGCGGAGCCACGGCACCCCGAGCCCTGGCGCCTGTAGCTTACCGACCAGGTACCCTGGGTCCCCCTCACTCACCTCGACCTATTCCGCAGCACTCCCGAATCCGAGCCGGACGCAGGCCCGCACCACCGAGGTGCTACCACCGCCCGCTCCTCACGCGGGGGTGGGGGCGTGGCCGTCGGTGGCCCCGCCCCCCCCACAGGGCCGCGCGCTCCCGGGCCAGGTTTCCCCCCTGCGAATCCGTGTTCTTGGTACGGGCCGCCGGGCCACGCCCCCTCCGCGTCTGGGCAGGGCATCCGGGCACGGGAGCTGGCACGTGGTTGGTGGCGGGCGGGACTCCTGGGCGGACCGCTTGTCCTGTTTCCCTAGTTGCGGTCCCCAGGCCGCTGCCCACCCTCTCATGGTCCGCCACGGGCCATGGCTGTGCACCGCGGTGTCTAGCCGGCTGTAGGTCGCGCTTGGAAAGTGTTCGCCGCTTTTTCTCCCCCGCGGCCCTCAGTTTCCTGACCCAGGCTAGGTGCACAGGTGGTCCGGTCCCTCCTGCCCGACCTCGGATTGGAATGCTGGCCTGCTTGGGTCGGGGGCGAGATATGACCTGGCACCTGGCAGGGGCGAGGACTGGAGGGACCAGAGGTTGGCGCCTCGGGTTGGAAAAGCCTGGCTGTCTTGGTCCCGGGCGAGACTCCCCACTCTACCTTCTACTGCGGATCCTAAGTTATAGGTGTCACGGTGCCCTGTGACATCATAGGACTCCTTAGGACACCTTACGTTATAGATGTCCATGTAAGAATGTCCATACCTCGTTTATTTGAGCCAAACAGAATATCCTGGAAGCAAGATCTCATCAGACTGGGAAAACAACAACTAAGAAAAACAACAGTTTGGAACTTATTTTATGTTTTTAGAATTAAGGAGGGAATGTAAAGAAGAGTACATGAAGGTGGTAGAAAGCAAGGGGGCGATCTGATTACAGCAGCGATTTTCAGCCTTTCCCATTCATCTCATGGCACACATAAACTACTTACTAAAATTCTTCAGCACACCAAAAAACACATTTTTTGCCGATCTGACAAAAAAAATAGGTATAAGGTTGACGGCTATTGTGTTGGTTATTTTTTTATCTGACAGTCTAAGATCAGTTCCCCTGACTAAATAGGTATTGCATGTTTTAAAAATTCTTGCAGCACACCAGTATGCCACAGCACCCCAGCTGAAAACTGCTGGATAGTGAACAAGATTATGTGCCCTCTTGATGGTGGCCATTGCTTTAGAACAAGCATGTCAAATTCAAAGGCTAATGGGCCAAATAAACAAGGTTTAAGTTTATGTGGGCCACAAAAAAACAAAAGCTTCAATTTTTCATAGAAACGTAGGTTTATTTCGATAGAGACATGCTGAATACAAAGGGCTGAAATAAATGAGTAATCGTTAACATAAAATAATAATATTAATAAAAATTAATATTTTTTTCTTGAATATTTACCAGACACTAACTGCACAAATTAATAAGCATAACGTAAATAAACCTATTTTTTTTTGTTCTCTAAAAGCGAAATATTTCCTGTTGCGCACACTAAACAAGTCAGTCCAAGACTAATGACATGGCAATCGGCTGCTAAAATATTCACTGCTAGTATTAGTGGAGAGAAATGGTGCGCCTGCGCATAAGGCGCCTAAGGGAAATGAATGCAACACGATTATAGTAATCAGTCATTAGCGAATGTTGTAGTTCGTTATTAATAACTAGAGGCCTGGTGCACAAAATGCATGCACTAGGGTGGGGGTCCCTCATCCCAGCCTGTGCCCTCTCACAGTTTGCCCTCTCACAGTTTGGGACCCTTACTCCTTACTGCCCGCCTGCTTGCTGATCCTTAGCGCTACGGCTGCTGCAGAGGCGGGAGAGGCTCCGCCAGTCTCTTCGCTCCCTAGCAGCAAGCAGCTCTGGCTGAGCAGCACTCCCCCTGTGGGAGCGCACTGACCACCAGGGGGCAGCTCCTGCATTGAGCATCTGCCCCCTGGTGGTCAGTACACATCATAGCGACTGGTCGTTCCGCCATTCAGTCAATTTGCATATTAGACTTTTATTATATAGGATTATGTATAAAAGGATATTGTAAAAATTAAGTTATGAACTTTTTATTAAAACGTTTCTTACATATTGGCTGGGCCGCAAAAATATTCATTGTGGGCCGCAAGTTTGACATGCTTGCTTTAGAAGGAGAGGTTTGAAAGGGGACATTTCAGTGCTGTGTTCATCTCTAGATGCACAAAAACTATGGACAGGATCTGCTTAAGGCAAAGATAAGCCTTTTAACCAAGAAGTTATATATGCCTGGGGCTTGACCATGATCTGCCCAGTTAGGAATTTATGATCAGAACATCTTGTGAGGTTACTTTCTATAGAACCTCTTTTTCATACACATAGGGTTTTGAGGATTAAGTTATATAACTCCTGATTTAGCTCAGTGTGATAGTAAGTTCTCTAGAAATATGTCATTGCTATCATTATTACTACAGGCTGCACTGGAAATTTCTTTTGCAACAGTGGGCAACTCATTTCATTCAGAGCTGATTCTCTTTCTTTGAAAACAGGACCAACCAATAGTAAAGTCCTATATAGAGGGAATTATTATGGTGGCCCCAGTTTCAGGCTTCCTGTAACCAGGAACCAGTCCCTCCAACAGGTTTGATGAATAGCCTTCAGGATGGGGCACACCCTGTCCAACTAAGGGACTAAACATGTAACTCCTGCACTATTTCCTTCAGGATGGGGAACACCCTGTCCAACTAAGGGATTAAACATGTAACTTCTACACTATTTCCTCAAGAGAGCAGTGGGGAAATTCATCACCCAGATCTCTGATACTCCCACCTTTCCAACACCTTGTTGACCATCTCCTCTGAGTGTCCCAGTGAGGTCTCAAACTTTGTGGATCCTTAACACCTGCTCTGTGAAGCCAGACTTATTCATAACACTGAGTGCTGCCTCTCCCTAATAATAGCATCCCTGAGTCAGGAAATAGGCATCTTCTGTTGCTTTTTCCCATTGAGCCAGTAATTGAATCCTATGGATTCTATCTCCAGGACCTGCCCCAGCCCTAAGTGAGTCCTACCTGAAGGGTTGGCCTTTCTACTGGATGACCTCAGCAGTTAGTGACTGCATGCCACTTCCAGTTTCTTCTACACCCACTGCTAGGAAAACTTCCTCATACACGTACTACTGTGCTGCTTTTCCCTGTACCCTTTTTCTCAGAACACACTCTCACTAGCCAGCTTGGGGGGCAGAGGGGAGTAGGTAGATACACATCTCACACTAACAAATTGTTGATGGATAAAATATTTAAATGATTAAAGAGAGCAAGAAGAAAAATCCTACAAGAAACCATGGGAGAATTTGTGTTAGTCTACAAAAGGCCCTTCTGAGTTATGACACAAACCCCATGTATGTATATGACCTCTCTGGAAAGAAAAAAAAGAAAAGGTAACGTGGTTGTTTCCAGAGGTGAGTTGGGAAGGGGAAGGGGAGTGTCACTTTTGCCCTTTGTATCTTTCACTTTGTGCCTTATGAATATTTTATTTATTCTGAGTCAAATACATAAGTACGTGTTTTTTTTTTAACACCCAAATAAGCTTATTGCTGGCCAAAGAACCACTCTTTTTAGCAGCTTCCAATACCTAAATAGTAACTATACACTTATTTTTCTTAACTTAAAATTGTATATATATGTGTGGGGTTATAGACAATATCTCTTGCCAGCTCACCTTTGTTTCTCCTCATCTTCACTGCCCAGAAAGAATCACTTATTGCCTTATTTAGCCCTTCTTCTGTCCTTATTTCCATGCTGGTAAATAAGTGTTTTTGTGGCTGGCTGTTGTCCTACATTTTAGGTCTTATCTCTTGAATCCTACTAATGATGGGTTGGGTCAGGTCACAGAGCCTGCCTTACCCTCCCCAACCCCCAATATTTCAACATAATTATTTATATACCTACTTTACTTCCTCTGTTAGTCATCTTTATAAGTGAAGTAAGCCTGGGACCATCCCCAGCTGGCAGTATCACGCTATGTTATACAATGAAGCCATCAGCATCCTTGCCCTTCCCTTTGTGGCCCCACCTCTGCCTTCCAACTTCAGTTATCGGAATTCTGGAATTTTCATTATTGAGCTGATAACATTTACATTCTACATATGTGTTCTTTGCTTTGTCTGTCGTTTGGGTTTAAAAGTCAACTCAGCAAGCATTGACATCGTTCTAACGTTGTTCAGGGTGTGTGTGCACAGCCAAGTCAACCACCCCTGTGATGACAGGTCTCTTCTTGTACAGCTGTCCACTTCCTGGAGGTTCATTTTTTTTCTGGCACGATTTAAAAGAAGCAGATCCTCAGTCTCTCTTTGGATTTGGTGTATCAAGCTTTCTCTAGAGCAGTGGTTCTCAACCTTCCTAATGCCGCGACCCTTTAATACAGTTCCTCATGTTGTGGTGACCCCCCCAACCATAAAATTATTTTCGTTGTAACTTCATAACTATAATTTTGCTACTGTTATGAATCGTAATGTAAATATCTGATATGCAGGATGTATTTTCATTGTTACAGATTGAACATAATTAAAGCATAGTGATTAATCACAAAAACAATATGTAATTATATATGTGTTTTCCGATGGTCTTAGGCAACCCCTGTGAAAGGGTCGTTCGACCCCCAAAGGGGTCGCGACCCACAGGTTGAGAACCGCTGCTCTAGAGACTTCCTCCAGGGTTCTCAGGCTGCCTCCTTCCCCCATCTAGATTAGCTACTGTCAAGGATCGAGGCTGAATTCCTATCTGGGTCTCAGTTCTCACATCAGGTTCTCAATCAAAGTTTGTGGAATGAATGGAGTTCCTTAGTCTGGAACATTCAAAATCTGGCCCCAACCCTTAATCTTCATAACTTTCTTCCACAAACTTTACACTCCAGCAAAATTGGATGGATTCTCATACATGGTATGCATTTCGATTGTTCAGAGCCATCAGGAATGTAGTTCTTTTCCGTGTCTATATCTTACCAATTCTTCTACACCCCCGCCCCCCCCACGAAAGCTGTCCTGACCCCTCCAGAAGTGATGGCACTCTCGCTTCTGTCCAGTCATCCAAGGCCCAGAGTATTTTCTACTTTAAATCATGTCTCCAAAGTCTTGGTCTTTGGTCCCTCCAGGGCGGGTCTGTGTTAGAGGCCTACTCTCTCTATCTCTCTACCCCCAAGTCCTGCCAAATGAGATGAGAGGGAGCTAGGGGACTGGGCTATGGTCATTGCAGAACAAGGACTTTGTGGC